AGAGAAATCTTATTTTGTAACTTACGTTGATCACATTGGTTTAATTATTGAAAACATATTGACCATTCTCACCAGGGAACAGTACGAACTAATATCTAGTGGGTATATTTTTATATAAACATATCATAAACTCGTTATTTATTTATCATAGATTTGTCTAATATTGTAATATATACAGCTCGCCTAGATATTCTCATAAAAGCAGTTGAAGATCTGATGAAGCTAACAGAAATAATATCGGTTAAATGTAATGAATATCTTAAGGAAATTGAAACCGAAGAAAGAGGTGCAAAGGTTAGGGCACTGGTACATTTAGGGTAAGCTAATAGATATACAATCATTTATTCATTTATTAAATGTTGGGGATGATGCTGAAATTGAGTGATGCAGAAAGTATGACCTATTTCATTTAAAATTTTTTCTTGGGCGTATTTTTTTTCTATTTTTTCTTCTTTTTTTTTTTAGGGTTGGATCAGGATTTGGGCTAGGGTTGTTTATAAATAGTATAGGTGGATTTGGGCAGGCTGTTTTAAAATAAGACTCATTATCCCGGCATCATCCCCAATATTAAATATCGAATTCCTTGAGAAAGGTTTAAATCAGGTGATATTCATTATTAAATATGTCTAAAATAATCAGACCATAGCTATCACCTGATTTATTTTCTTTTTTTTTTTTTTTTTGCTATCCCTTCGTGTTCTGAAAGCCTGTTCCCGAAAGGATAATACCGACAAAGTTAGCCGGCATTGACTCTAATGCTGGTTGATTTAGTCGATATTATGTTATTTAGGAAGATGGCTCTCGGAGTACCGTACTATAATTGTTGTTATTTTATCATTATTCTAATTGATATTAACACTTTTGTCATTAAGGGTTGCTGCTTTTGAGGTTTATTACGGTATCTCAAAGTATAAATCTCATAGTACGGTACAGGTATGTGTTAACAACTTATTTAGCGTTATAAATAATTTTCTAAAAGTGCCATCTACACTACAGAGGGTTTGCGAAGCAGCTTTGTTCGTTACGAATGGGGTTGCTTTCGGGTTTGCGCTGGCCGCTAAACAAGAATTAAGCAAAGCTATAGAACAACAGAATAATACTCTTAGAAGGTTACACGAATTTCATTTGACGCTTACCAAAATGACCCAGAAAGGAAGAATTATTCTAGATCTAAGTGGAAATGAAATGTTAGATCAACGAAATACAATTATTGAAGAATTTACCGAATTTCAGATTCAATGCAAAAGTTTCAAGGATGTGTTGGATGATCTTGAAGAATGAATTGAGCTATATGTTTTGGGCATTAAGTTAATTTGTCGCATATATTCACTTACATACCTTAAAAGACGAAATTATGACTTGCATCACATGTATTTTTTTTAAAAATAATGATAATATTGTTATTATAATATGTGACTGAGTAACAAATAAAAAGAACACAATAATAATTCCTCAGTATAATTTATTTCTTTCAAATTAAAATTTCAGAAGTCTAACATGTAAAAAAAGTTGACATCATCATCGGAATTATAAGTTCTTTAAAACGAGACCTATACGTACATGAATTAGAGAGAATCCTGTATCCAGTTTTTAAGATCATACAATATTGGCATCAATTGAATGTCCGATAACGTTAATGTTGAAAGTGATTGAGATACTGAGGTAAGATCGTATTTTGTGCCTAATGTTGAGTATATTAATCAATGAAGAAATAGATACGTGTAAAGTTGGGGTATATCATATACTAATTAATTAAATCTATGTCTGGGGCTATAGTAAAA